TGTGAACTTCCTACCAGCTCCAAGGAGGGAGTACCCAGGCTTTCTCATCGGCTTGCCCAGATATGGTGGGGTTGAGGGGGGGGGGGGTGGGATGGTGTGAAGCTTAAAAGCTATCAGCAGTCAAACATCACCCAGTGGAGTCCAACTTTTTATTACCACAAGGGTCACCATTGAATAATGCAAAATGACATCCCATTTGTACCTGACACAGTGCTTTGTAGAGAGTTGCAGAAGTCCAAGAGTGTGCTGTTCCTGTTTGTTGTCTGTGTAGGGGAAGGGCCGTGGCACCCTGTTGGCCTCGCGTGCATCCATTATGGGAAACGGCTTCAACTGCCATTTATCAGTCTTGGCGGTATAACTTGTGCTCCTACCCACAGCTGTAGCTACCCACAGCTGTCCACAGCTTGGAGGATGGGAGCCCTAAGGAGCTGCTAGGAGGTCATCTCCCACTCATGTCTCCGTCTCTCCTGGGCAGTTCACATGGGACAGTTTCTCATCACCTCCAGGGTTCTGATGAGATGTGGAGCTTTCTGCCCAGGCCCCTAGAGCTGCAGAACATAAAGCTGGCTCCCCAGCAGCAGGGGGCCCCCACAGCTTGTGTTGCAGGCATCTGACCCCTTTTGTGTCAGTGTTGTCCTTTTTTGGTGTGTGGGAAAGGATCACTTGGAACTGGCACCTTTGGCTTATTCTTCTGTCTTTGTCTCTAACACACTATCCAAATCTTTACTGTCAACTCTTTACCTTGGACTTTGCTTTCTCTTAAATGTGTGAACGTGGCAATCTGTACTGTAACTTGGGCAGAACTCAATTTCTTCATTTCTTTAGATTTCTGATATTTCAAGGCAGATCTTTGATATTCTACTGGAATGGATATTTTATTTTCTTCAGTTTCACAATTTGTGGACTCTTTAGCTTTAGCTTTTTCCTTTGTAGGTTTGCCATTATGATTTCAAAATACCTTATTTTTTAAAATAGGCTTTATTTTTTTAGAGTAGTTTTAGGTTCACAGCAAAACTGAGTAGACGGTACAGAGATTTCCCCACCTCTACCCCATGCATATCCTCCCCTGTTATCACCCACCAGAATGGTACATTTTTCAGGAACAAATGGATGCTAGTTGAAGAGTTCTTCTCAGTCAGGAGGGTAGGGGAAAAAGCACAAATTTTTAAATTGGGAGTTAACTAGGTACACAGTGTTAACAGTAATCTGGTGATGGGATTTTGATTAATTTTTATTTTCTCATTAGTGCACAAAACTGCAAAAGTCTTTGTAATCCATGTATGTATTATCATTTTTCTAATTATAAAAGGATTCTACAAAGAAAAGTATACTGAAAATCTTAAGGAGCTTTAGACATAGCACTTTTGAAGCTTAAATTGAGCCTAGGAATAATTTATAAGTCTCATATTTTATAACCAATTGGAGAATTTGTTTACCCAGCTCACAGAGCTAATTGGGGGCATGGCTACGGCTGGAATGCTCCCCACTGAACTCCCATGTAAAAACTCTCCAGTATCCAGTAGATGCCAGGCCCCATAGCAAAAGGAGTTTGCATCAACTGGGCAGAGCCTGTGCAGCTCTATTTATTTTTTTATTCCCCACCCTAGGATATGTTTTTATTGATTTTGGAGAGAGGAGAGAGAGAGAGACATTGATGTAAGAGGGAGAAACATTGATCAGTTGCCTCCCATACGTACCTCAACCAGGGATTGAACCCACAACCTTTTGGTGTACGAGACGACACTCCAACCAGCTGAGACACCTGATAGCGCACAGCTCTGTTTTTATCAAGCTCCTCAGGTGAACAGGCTGCACAGCAGAGCTCAGGCGTTGTATTGCACTGCACTGCCTTTCAGATTGAGCCTCGCCAACCATCAAATGCACTAAATGTTGATTGGATAGCTGGATCCTCTCTTCACTCATGAAAAATGGCAGTAGTTTGTGGGCCAAAATTAGGCCTGATTTTGTATTTGAGAGTTGTAACTGTATTGTTTCTTAGGGTGTCTGATTGATATATACCACAGTACTTTTCCATAAAAATCTTACTGAGAAATCCTATATAATAAAACCCTAATGTGCAAATCGACCGAACAGTGGAACGACCAGTCTCTATGACACGCACTGACCACCAGGGGGCAGACGCTTAATGCAGGAGTTGCCCCTGGTGGTCAGTGCGCTCCGATAGGAGGAGCGCCGCCACTCAACCAGAAGCCAAGCTCAAGGCTGGTGAGTGCAGCAGCGGTGGCGGGAGCCTCTCCTGCCTCTGCGGCAGCCCTAAGAACCCCTCGGTGGACATCCCCCAAGGGGTCGCAGACTGTGAGAGGGCACAGGCCAGGCTGAGGAACACACACACACACACACACACACACACACACACACACACAGTGCATGATTTTCGTGCACCCGGCCTCTAGTATTAAGATATTTTTGATGAGGAAATGCTGGATAGCTCTAAGCCAGCACTTTAGCTTAATATTTCATTTGTATGCCATCGACATTCTTATTCAGCATTTTTTTAATGAGGAGAAAAGGAATAGTCTCTTCTCTTTTTTATTTTAATTTTTTGCCTTCCCTTTCATGTCTCTATTTACAAATCCTAGTTTCTTTTCATAATTAGCCAATCAGCATTAATAACCATGTAGTACTCAGAAATGTCTTAATTAGTCCACCTTTTCCAAGAATTATCAGAGAGTGAATAGCTAACATTCATCATGTGGGGCTCTGGACTAAATGTTTTATATGGATTGATTTAATTCTCACAGGAACCTTAGGAAATAGATCAGTGTTTTTCAAACTTTTTTTTGTCTGTAACTCATGCAAATGCATTTCACATCATGATCCAGTAACAAACATCTTTATAAATAACAAACAAAAGTTTCACCAATTAATATTAACACTGCACTATACTGTTTTTAAATGTTGGCTTCAATCCACTAAATAATTCACAACACACTAGCACAGTGGTTGGCAAACTTAGTAGTCAACAGAGCCAAATATCAACAGTACAACGATTGAAATTTCTTTTGAGAGCCAAATTTTTTAAACTTAAACTATATAGGTAGATACATTGTTATTAACTTAATTAGGGTACTCCTAAGGCTTGTATTGCTCTGTATATCACCACAGTTTTGCTTCTGTGCTGGGATAAAAATGTTTGTAGTACAAGTACTACCCCTCAACTGTCCTCCACCTGCCAACAGAAGAGTATTTGCTCAGCGGAAGACAGGAGACCCTGAAGATTTGGGAGTAGGGAACGAGGACCTTCTGGATTTTATAGGAGACTTTGAGAACTTGGGAGGTGGGGAAGAAATTTCTAATTGGATTTTTTTATTAAGTAATTTTGTGTGGCTTTGAGGAAAAAACTCTCTTTTATCTCCTTTCAAAATTGTCAGTAAAATTACTAACTCACTGATACTTGAAATGTGGATTTGATTTTGGAGATTTATGTCCAGGCTTAAATCAAGGCTGAAGCCAGATTGGAACAGAGGCCACCTGATAGAGCCAGCCACATCTGGGTAACACTTTAGTGCAGAAGTGCTGTATATGTAGTAAACATTTATTCAGTGTCTGCTGTATTCAGGGCACTATCCTGGGTACAAGGCACACAAAGCATCTCATAGGTCTCTGCTGTGGGCAAAGCATCTATATTTTATAGCCTGGAAAGCTCATTGATATTCTTCTAGACTTGAAGCTTCATGCAGGCCGATACGTGTGTGTCTTGTCCACCAATGTATCCTGCACAACACCTGGCACATGATAGACAGTCAGCATTAGCTTACTGAATATTGACTAATAGCCAGGTAACTCTTGTAGTATTAAAAAACTGAGGTCAGAGAGCCAGATTATTTCCATCTGCCTGTAAAGCATACATAAAAATATAATAGTCATTTGGAGAAACTGCCTTGTCAAGTGATATCAGTGAGCATAGTACACTATGATTACTGAAGTCAGTTTCCTTTGCCCTGTGATTTGCTTCTGAAAATGTTGTCTAGCCATCTGTAACACCCCATTTCCTTTTCCATTGGACTGAGTAATATTTCAGTATGTAATTCCTTAGCCCTAGGGAAGTAAAAGGGGAAAGTCCATCTCCTTCCATTCTTCCAAACCATTAGACATCCTCCGAGCCACTGTGATTTGAAAGAAACCCTGTGCCTACCTGAGATGGACCAGTCCCTCTCTGCCTGTTAGAAAAGTCTGGGCCAGCATGCCATCTCATAACTTACTGCAAGCCGAAGTGCAGGCATCTAGTATTATGTATCAAGAGGAAGCAGAGAGAGGCTCGGAGGCAAATAGGTAATCCAAGCAGAAAATGGATTTAACCCTTTTCGGTCCAACGTGGAGGCTACTCGACAGACCAGACGCTAGGAGCAGGTCCAATGGCTGAGGTCGACACCACAAACCAGTTCAACATTCAATCCCGTCAATTTATTTGGATCAGACTGTTTGAATTTCAAAAATAAAATTGGACTGCAAAGGGTTAAGATTAGAGACTGGAGGTGGGTGGGGGCAGGGGGGAAGGCGGGGTAAATATTGTGTATTTGGTGATGGGCAGCAGGAGAGAAGATATTATGCGGAGCAAATACTCATTTGCCTATATTTCATCTAGATTTACTTACACCTGTGTAAGTAAACATTGTGCAAATATTTCATTGGTTACCAGGTAGCAATATAATCAGTTATGTTATATGTGGACCATTTTATGAGCAATATGCACTCTGCACTCTAATTGAATGAGTAATAATTACTTTGCATTCATAATATGAGGCCAGGTAATTAATGCGCTTGCTGGGTTTGTAATCCCTGTTTCTCTTCATTTATTTTCCTTTTTAAAGGATGTTTCCTTTGCTGTACATAAGTCTTAATAAGGGAGAAGTTATGTCTCCCCCTCCTGGCTATGACTGGTAGAACCTAAAAGTTTAGGTTATTTGCATGTATTTTTTTATTTAGCTACACAGTATTCATTTACCACAACTTTCAACTTTTAACTTTCCTCCCTACAGCCTCCCTAAGCAGCCTCTTGATTACACCGTTCCCATCTCCAAGTTCCTCTACGTCCTCTTCTAGCAGCTACCAGCGCCGCTGGCTTCGAAGTCAGACAACAAGTTTGGAAAATGGCATCATTCCAAGGAGGTGAGCTGCAAGTTTCCTCTTGCTGAGAAGGGGACTGGTGCAGGCAGCTTGGTGGGGCTGGCAGGACACGGAGTTCACCTATTGTCAAGGGAACAAGAGAGCTGACACTTTTTGATGAGCCTCAGTTTAGCCTGAGAGTTTATAAGTTAAAAGTTTTCTGGAAAGAACAAATAAAAAAAACAACAAAAATCTCCTGGTTTGGAAAACACTGGGAAATGTCCAGATGGTTGTGTCGTGTATAAACTATGTATGGTGTTCATTTAAAATGAGTATGCTCTATGTTTTCATTGGCTTCCTTCCAAATGTAGCTCTTGTACATTAGGAGGGTGGAATAAATCTCTTCCTTGGGTTATGGTGACTCCAGTGTGAAAATATATGAACTCAAAGATTGGGACATACTCTCTCTGTAAAACTTAAATTCTTAAACTAAACAGTCATGAATCAGATTATGAATAGAGGTGGAATCAAGATTATTTTCTGCCTTCATTTCAGTTGATTTTTATTATTTTTTAATTACCAGTTGACATTCAGTATTATTTTACATTAGTTTTATGTGTGCAACATAGTGATTAGACATTTGTATAATTTACGAAGTGATCCTCCTGATAATTCTAGTACCTACCTGGCATGCTTTTAGATCTGAAGTTTAGTTATATTCAAAATACATCTTTTTGGCTTATGATGATGTTGCGTCAATAGCTTCCAACCTCTTTTTTCTACAACCCAGAAACTCAAAAGGGAATCAAGATAGGTTGTACCTATGAAAACTCACATGTAAATTGGCTGATAGTAAATTGACTAGTACTCATCATGTGTAGGGAATCTGTGAAAGTAAAAGATGATTCAGGTGCTTGCCTGCATTTGGGTAGTCTGAAGATATATACCACAAAGCCTATATAATAAAAGAGAAACATGCAAATTAACCATCCCTCTGCTACGCTCACCAGCCAACCAGAGTGAGTATGCAAACTAACCTGACAAAGATGGTGGTTAATTTGCATACGCAGGTGTCAAGGGCCCCAGGAGGCGATGGCGGCTTCGGTCTCCCAGGACCATTGCCGCCCCAGGAGGTGAGGCCATAGCCACGCCCGCGGGCTCCCAGGACCTTGCTGGCAGAGAGCAGAGCAGGAGAGCAGGAGGTTTGGAGGACTTGGCAGAGCAGGAGGCTGCTGGACATAAAGCAAGAGAGAGGGCGGTTTGGAGGGCGTGGCTCCCTCTGTCACCCCAGCTTCCTCATCACAGCTGTGGAAACTGACAGCAGGGAAGAGGAATTCCCACCCCCATATAATCAGTCTTTGGTCAGACAGCTCTCAGCGGCCTGACAGCCAGGACTCTTATTCATCTGCATCTCAGACTGTGACAGTAGAGAGATGGGACTATGTCTAAAGAACAACTGTTGATACAACATAGCTCTGCAGCCGAAAGATGCCGGCGTTATCGACAGAAAATGTCTGCAGAGCAGCGTGCATCTGATCTTGAAAGAAGGCGGCGCCTGCGATAGAATGTATCTGACCACCAGCTACTGGAAAAATGTCGCTCTGATGCTGAAAAACACCGGCATTATCGACAGAAAATGTCTAAAGACCAACGTGCCTTTGAAGTTGAAAGAAGGCGGTGGCGACGACAGGATTATGTCTAGAGAATAGTCATCAACAAGTACTACCAATACTGGTAGGAACTACCTTCTCAGCAAAAATGGAGTACATGAGGATGCAATCCTTGAACATAGTTGTGGTGGAATGACTGTTCGATGTGAATTTTGCCTATCGCTAAATTTCTCTGATGAAAAACCATCGATGGGAAATTTACTCAATGTTGTAGCAAAGGGAAAATCTGTCGAAATGATATACATTTTCCAGATCACCCAGCATATTTAAAAAGATTAATGACAAACGAAGATTCTAACAGTAAAAATTTCATGAAAAATATTCATTCCATAAATAGTTCTTTTGCTTTTGCTTCCATGGGTGCAAATATTGCATCAACATCAGGATATGGGCCATACTGTTTTAGAATACATGGACAAGTTTATCACCATACTGGAACTTTACATCCTTCAGATGGTGTTTCTCGGAAGTTTGCTCAACTCTATATTTTGGATACAGCCGAAGCTACAAGTAAAAGATTAGCAATGCCAGAAAACCAGGGCTGCTCAGAAAGACTCATGATCAATATCAACAACCTCATGCATGAAATAAATGAATTAACAAAATCGTACAAGATGCTACATGACGTAGAAAAGGAAGCCCAATCTGAAGCAGCAGCAGAAGGTATTGCTCCCACAGAAGTAACAATGGCAATTAAATATGATAACAGTGCCCCAGGTAGATGTAATTCTCCCCGTGTAACTGAGGTTGCTGTCATATTCGGAAACGAAGATGGAGAACCTCCTTTTGAAAGGGACTTGCTCATTCATTGTAAACCAGATCCCAATAATCCAAATGCCGCTAATATGAAACAAATCAATATCCTGTTGCCTACATTAGATGCAATGACATATCCTATTCTTTTTCCACATGGTGAAAAAGGCGGGGGAACAGATACTGCATTAAGACTCAGAGACAACAGTGTAATCGACAGTAATACTAGACAAAATGTAAGGACACGAGTCACACAAATGCAGTATTATAGATTTCATCTCTCTGTGCGGGACATGTTCAATCCTATTTTAAATGCAGGAAAATTAACTCAACAGTTTATCGTGAATTCATATTAAAAAATGGAGGCCAATGAGATAAATTTCATCAAAGCAAACCAATCTAAGTTGAGAGTTGAAAAATATAGTGGTTTGATGGATTATCTCAAATCTAGATCTGAAAATGACAATGTGCCGATTGGTAAAATGATAATACTTCCATCATCTTTTGAGGGTAATTCCAGAAATATGCAGCAGCAATATCAAGGTGCTATGGCAATTGTAACGAAGTATGGCAAGCCCGATTTATTCATAACCATGACATGCAACCCCAAATGGGCAGATATTGCAAACAATTTACAACGCTGGCAAAAAGTTGAAAACAGACCTGACTTTGTAGCCAGAGTTTTTAATATTAAGCTGAATGCTCTTTGAAATGATATCTGTAAATTCCATTTATTTGGCAAAGTAATAGCTAAAATTCATGTCACTGAATTTCAGAAACGTGGACTGCCTCATGCTCACATATTATTGATATTAGATCATGAGTCCAAATTACGTTCCTTTAATTTCAATGTGCACGAATTTCGTGCACCAGGCCACTTGTAATGGTATAAAGATCTTAAACGGTTAGTGCTATATAGAGCAGCGGTCGCCAACCAGTGGTCCGCAGACCATTGGTGGTCCGTGAGGTCTGAAAGGTTGGTGACTGCTGCTATAGAGAGGCATAAAGTGCTCTGGGACTCTGAGAAGGGAGGGAACACTTGCTGGTGATGGTGGGGCGAACTGGGGGTCCTTCATGAAAGATGGTGCTGAAGGGACAAGCTGAGTGGGGTCTATCTGTGGCACATGGCAGACTGCTTGTTTCTTCTCCTGTTCTCAAGAGCTAGACAAAAAAACACACACATTATAGCTGCATCACTCACCGAGGAACTGCTTTTTGGTTGGTGGACTTGGAGGGGAATGGTTAAGAGCTTGGAATTTGGTGTGGGGAACACGTCCCCGCTCTGCCACTCAATAGGTCCGTGGTCGGCAAACCGCAGCTTGCAAGCCACATGAGACTCTTTGGCCCCTTGAGTGTGGCTCTTCCACAAAATACCACGTGCGGGCGTGCACGTACAGTGCGATTGAAGCTTTGTGGCCCATGAGCAGAACTCGGTATTTTGTGGAAGAGCCACACTCAAGTGGCCAAAGAGCCACATGTGGCTCAGAAGCCGCAGTTTGCCAACCACTGCACTTGGTGAATGTGAGAATGAGTTCACCTGGATATAATTTAAAGCAGCATTAGTTGCTTCCTCTCCTACAGTTTGATAATTGTACTAGTATCAGCCTCACAGCCTTGTTGGAAAGGTTTGAAGAGATATAGCCAATTAAGTCAGGCCAAGGCGAGATATGGTAAATAAAATATTGGCCAGTATGACTTACTTACTATTATTGCCATCGTTATCATTGCTGTCACTGCAACTGCCAGGAGAAGGCGTCCCACCATCCTCATGGAAGAAATAGACGGATCTTAGAAGCCTTCCTGTTCAGACAGCTTCCCTTTACTAAAAATGCTTTTCCAGCTTTTCAGGTTTGAATCCAAAGTTGAATAGCATTCTCCAACACAGTCCTTCAAAATTTTTCAAAAACTCTAATTTGAATTGAGACCTGGCACTGGGAACTGAGGAATCTCTAGGAAACTTACACCTAAAATAGATATCTTGGGCTCAAAAAATGAAAATACAGGGGCCCTTGTAAAAAGTGCTATTAAAGAGTATACTAAAATGTAGTTTCCCCTTTAAAAATATTTTACTTTCAAAACATAATAGGAATAATAGTGACACATGAACAAAACAAATTTATGAATTACAAAAGGTAATACTTTGGTGTTATAATTTTATGTAATAGAAAAAAATGTAGTTGCCCTAGCCAGTTTGGCTCAGTGGATAGAGTGTCAGCCTGCAGACTGAAGGGTTCTAGGTTCAGTTCCGGTCAAGGGCACGTACCTCGATTGCAGGCTTCATCCCTGGGCGAGTGCAGGAGGCAGCCAATCAATGTGTCTCTCTCTGTCTCGCCCCCCCCCTTCCACTCTCTCTAGAAATCAATGGAAAAATATTCTTCGGTGAGGATTAACAAAAGAAAATTTGATACCTTCATTCATCATAAGATTTTTCTGGCTCACATTTCTGAAAGTTCATTTGTATAGGTTATCAAAATTTATACATCAATCACTATAATTTAAAGCAGCCTTAGTAACTCCTGGCAAATGCAAGATGGCACATATTTTTGATAATTTTTTATTTTGAGAAAGATCTTTCTGCTGATGCAACTAATACTGGAACTTTATAGTTATGACAACATTGAGATACATTTCTAATAAAATTTCAAAGCATAAATTTTAGTATATCTAGATCAGATTATTCTTGTGGAACAGTTTTTCTAAAAAGATTTAATTCTTCACTCAAATCCATTTGTGTAAGTCTGAATTTAATTTTAAATGTAAATTTATACAAGATTATTTTAATGTTTCCTCTGACATCTTCTGTAACTTATGGAGGTCTTTTATATATATGTTTTCATTGATTTTTTTTAAGAGAAAGGAAGGGAAAGAGAGAGGGAGAGGAAGAGGGAGAGGGAGGGGAGAGAGAGAGAGAAGGAGAGAGAGAGAGAGAGAGAGAGAGAGAGAGAGAGAGAGAGAGAGAGAGAGAGGAGAGAGAGAGAGAGAGAGAGAGAGAGAGAAAGAAACATCAATATGAGAAACATCAATTGGTTGCCTCCTGCACGCCCCCTACTGGGCATTGAACCCAAAACCCCGGGCATGTGCCATGACCAGGAATCTAACCAGCATCCTTTTGGTGCATGGGATGATGCTCAACCAACTGAGCCACACCAGCCAGGGCTGGAAGTCTTAAAAGAAACTGAAAGTGTCTTTATGAGTTGCATGTAATTTAGAATGCCTTATGCATTCTATCACTGCGTCTTCAACAGTATGGAAAAATTAATTTTATACTGGGCTTCCTTGTTAATAATTTCATCTGAAGCTTCATATGAACATAGTGTCTGTTTGGGGGCGGGGGGGTTCTGTCCAATGCATCAATCTTTTTATTTTATTTTATTTTTTTCATTTATCTTTATTGTTGAAAGTATTACAGATGTCCCCCTTTCTCCCCTATTGCTCCCCTCCACCTGCTCCCACTCCCTCCCCAGGCCTTCACTGCACTATTGTCTGTGTCTGTGGGATGGATGGATATATATATATATATATATATATATATATATATATATATTTTTTTTTTTCATTCTTTGTTTAATCTCTTCCCACCGCCTCCCCTCTAAAATATGTCAGTCTGTTGCATGCTTCAGTGTCTCTGGGTCTATTTTGTTTGCCAGTTTGCTTTGTTCATTAGATTCCAAATATAAGTGAGATCATGTGATACTTGTCTTTCTCGCATCAATCTTTTAAAAAAAATTTAGTCCTCACCTGAATATATGTTATTACTGATTTTTAGAGAGAAACGTTGATCAGTTGCCTTCCGTACATGCCCCAAACAGGTATCAAACTCGTAACCTAGGTCTGTGCCCTGACCAGGACTTGAACCCTCACCCTTGTGGTGCAAGGGATGATGCTCTAACCAACTGAACCACCTAGCCAGGGATAATGCCTCAATCTTTACATTTACTTTCTATTTCTGTCCCTGTGGATATTTGATTTATAATGTTGCAGCAGTTTTCAAAACCGGAGATTATAAACTCTGAAGAATTTTAATAACTTCCTGGTATGCTTCATTGTGGTGTCCACTCTAGGTTCTAACTTGGTGATTATTTACTATTCTGGGGCTTAGGTCAGAGAGGTAAATATTTGTGCAGAGTTCATGGGGAGGGGCCCTGATGATGATGGACAAGCTGCCCTCCCACCATGGGTCACTGCCCTGCCTAAGTCCTTCCTCTCACCCATGGTCGTGACCACTGCTGCTTCTGCTGCTGCCACCGTCAGCCACCAAGCTAGGCCCCGGTCCCAGCTTTGCCAAGTTGGGGCCTTGTGGCACCCTGGATTGCCCAGACATGTGTGTGTGTGCCTGACCAGCAGGCCAGTTACTCATTGTCTGGGTTGCATGCCCTGGGGCTTGAGCCTACCACACACTCTGCAGTCTGGTATCTTTACCGCTCACACACATGCTCCATTGTCCCTTCATACTTCACTTACAGATTCAGTAATAAAATTATTAAGAATCCAGGACAGCAAGTTGATTAATCACTCTGCCTCAGTTTCCACATTAGCAGAAACGGTCTATGGTACCTTACCTGTAGGTGACTGAGGGCAAAGATAAGATAAATTATTTGGGTGCATACCTGAATTTTTTAAAACATTCAGAAACATCTTTTCTTTGTGGGATAATTTTAAGCATATAATTACAATACCACATGACCTGATTTATTTCTGTTTGGTTGATCCAAGACTACAGAATGAAGCTCAGTTGCTTTAGAATTCAGTGTAGAGATACAGTGAAGCAAGTAAGACCTACCCAATACTGTGATAGCTATGGAAGTTTTTCAGAAATTCAGTAGGGGGCGCTCTCTGCTACGTTGAAGTGAAATAGTTATTATTTACAGGGTAAAGATGAAGACAATGCATACATCTGCATAGGGTTCAGTGTTTATTGCCATTTGATTTTTAAGACCACATTGGCTGAAAATGAATGGGCTGATGTGGTCATTTTGCTTTTGAATAAGAAGGGAAATAGGAGATAGACAAAAAGGGTTATAAGGAAGTATTGGTATCAAATAAGCTCAGAATTTTCTCTTCAGAGTAGAAATAAGCTGATGTAGGGATACAAATTATAGTATAGGTACTTTTGAAAAGAAGAAGGAGCATTGTATGAAATTAAGTAAAATTCTAAGAGCCTCAAGAATTTTTTTCTGGTGAGCAGATGAATAGGATCTAGGAGTTTCTCAGAGAAAACAGGTGATCGTTTAACACAAGGTGTCACATTTACAACAGCCTCTGGAGAGCAGGTCCTTACAGAGGCATGTCTGTTAGTGAGAGCCTTTACTGATTTATCGACCACACCCACATCTCTGAGATCCTGCTTGAAGTCGAGAGAAACAATAGCATATTTCTCTGAGGTTAGAACAGGATGTCTATCTCCTTTCCTTTAAAAATAAAATAGCGTTCCTAACCATACAACTTTTGATGTGTGTATGTTTTTTAAAATACGGGTATGCTTGAAACCACAGGCACATTGTAGATTGTGAGTAGAGCAAGAAATGAGAATTTAAAGACCAAGAGTAGGAGGCTAACTGCCTCGAATCCTGCAAAGCATAATGGTTGTGTTGTAATTTGTAGTAAAGAAAATGGAGGAAGTGGTATCCTTCCATATTTGGCAGAGATATGAATCTAAGTGGTGGAGTCAACGAGTAAGAGAAAACTTATTGCACAACTACCCTGTGCCAGGCTAGGGGCTTTCCTTTGCAATGCTATGTCCTGGGCTTTGATTTTTTATTTATTTTTTTTTTGTAGAAAACAACAACTCTGTTTTATTTTTCTTTTCTCTTGTTGATCATAGCTATTTGGCAGTTATGCTGGTTTTTGAGAATAGTTAAATAAGAGACATGGTTGGCCCATATATTCAGGATTTATTGGCTTCATGATCCTCTTGTCATAGAAGCAGAGTCTCAAAAGAATGTTAAGTTTTTTCAGAACCTGACTATCCCAGAAGAGAGGTGGACCTTTCTGTTTGGGGATTTCCCAGGGAGCTAAATCAGCCACATGGCTCCATCGAGCATTTACAGAAGTAACTTCATCTAATTCGAACTGGAAAGTGAGCCTCAACTACCAGCAAATATCCAAATATGACCCTTGATTAAATGGAATCCCACTTGGGATCATTTCTCTTCCCACATTCTTACCTATTGGTTCCTATCAACTAGAACAAAGGGCCCATGTTTTGAGTGAACAGATGTTTCACACCCCTTCCTAAATACCACCAATCTGATGCACAGTCCAAGAGAAAAGTACTAAGGATCTAGCAAGGGGACATTTGAAATTGTTTTCAGTTTTAAGTTTATTTTCATGTCAGGATAGTATTAGATTGTAAGCTATATTTTCATGACAGAGAATTACAGAAGAGAGTAAATTAGAGGTAGATCAACTCCTGGTTAAGACTCTGAGTGTTCTGGATTAGCCACCTGAATGTCATCCCCTGACATCAGAGTTTATCTTCAGTGTGATGCACTGATACGACTCATCAAATTTTCCTCCAGGTCAACTGATGAGACATTCAGCTTGGCTGAAGAAACCTGTAGTTCTAATCCGGCCATCGTTCGGAGGAAGAAAATCGCCATAAGCATCATCTTTTCCCTGTGCGAGAAAGAGGAGGCCCAAAGGGATTTCCAGGACTTCTTTTTTTCTCACTTCCCCCTGTTTGAGTCTCACATGAACAGGTTGAAGAGTGCAATTGAAAAGGTAATGAGAATGTAATCTTATTCAAATAGAGAAGGGATTATGGGTCTTTAAAGACTCTTTATTCAGATATCAGATCACTTTCCTAGAGAATGTTAATCATTGATATTAGATATCAGATAATGCATGGCTTTAGGAGAGGAAATTACTGCTTCCTGCCGACTTCAGGCATCACTACCTTGAGTGTTTTGATTATGATATTATCTTTTATTAATAAAGCCTAGTAGACAGTTATACAGCGTTTTCTTTGCCAGAGAGTAATTTGGCGTGTTTCTCTTCAATGAAGGCCATGATCTCCTGTAGGAAGATAGCAGAATCAAGTCTCCGAGTCCAGTTTTATGTCAGCCGTCTGATGGAAGCTCTGGGAGAATTCAGGTAAATTCACAGTTTGTCAATATAACAAATGTGTGAGTGAGTAGCAGTGGCAGCCATGGATCTAGGGAGACATAGAGACCATGACTTGGAAGAATCAGGGCTGGCAGTTTTTAGTCACTTTAGTAGCTCCTTTAAGATGGAAACTAAGATCAAAGGAGCAAAAAATTTAAGTCGCCCAGCACCAAATTATCCTTACTACTGCCTGACAGACAGTCTTTGGTATTGTTTTTTAACAGGGTGAATGGATAAAACTAATATTTCGGTATCTCTTATAAGCCTGTTCATTACTTCTTGTCATCCTCACAAAAGCCCTAACAGTAGGCACTATTACCCTATTTTACAGATGAGGAAACTTGAGTTCAAGGATCTTGTCCAAAGCATAGATGGAGAGAGTACCTATGTCAGGGAGATATACATTCTCACTTGCCAGAGTAGGCCCGGTTTATACCCACTGTCCTCCCACAAATGTCCTAGTCTAGACATGAAATTATATGATTATATTACAGTGCACTTTCATTGTTAGTTTCTAATTGATGATCTTTGTACTCTGGACAGTAGTTTTCTAGAGTCCTTGTCCCTGATGTCTGGGTGTAAACCTACTTTGGATAGCACGAGGTATTCTGCTGAGTTGGGATTGTCACACCATTTCTTAGAGCCAGCTTCTCGATGGGGAATGACATCCCATTCCAAGGCAGTCAGGAGCTAATGAGTCAATGTTACTCTGTAGCTGAGGGACAAAAAAGTTTACAGTTCCTATTGTTAGAAGATTTTTGTGATGCTTAAGGTATATGCTGGTGAAGTCTATACCCCTTGGAGCAAAATTCTAGTCTTTTATAAGTCCTGGGTTATATATAAAGTACTTAAGTCATGTTAGTCATTATCTGGTGATTGTTAAGACCTAAGCCACATATGTCAGAAATAGGTAGTGTGAAGTTGTGCTTTTTGCTGGCAGTCTGATGATTAGTAAACCTTCTGTCGTTTGTGAGGATAGACCTGAAGTTGACTGTTGCTCTGCTGTGGTCGCCAGAAGCTGGCCTGTGCTTGAGAGTTTGGCTGCTAGTTTAATGAGAGTATCAGTTTTTCAGAGGTCAAGAATGTGAAAGTATAGAACCAGAAAGCCTCACCAACAATGTACATAAAGAGGTCTTGTTCTTATTTCAACAGCCTATCCCTCCAGAAATGGGGACAAAATAAAGTATTAGCATTTGGAGACCTTAGGTTTAGTAAATGAATCCCAGTTCCATGTGACAGTAACTTGTCATTGCTACCCAACTTGGCAAATGCTCTGTTTTTTGCCAAGGTGGAATTCTGTTGTGTCTCAATTCTTTTATGCACACGGCCTAGAAAATCAAGTCAGAATATGTCTTAGCTATTTTGATTTGGGGAGAATGGATGTGCTTTGCAGCTAGTCGACTTTGCCATTGTGCAAAAGCTGCAATATGTAAATGAACGAACATAACTGTGTTCCAATAAAACTTTATTTACAAAAAGGTGACAGTAAGATTTGGCCTGTGGGTCATAATTTGATGACCCCGGTTTTATATTCTGTATGAGTCCCTTGAGTCCTACATAGATTCAGATTATTGTTATCTCCTTCATTCCTTTATATAAAGATTAGAGGCCTGATGCACGAAATACGTGCAAGGGGCTCGGCCCTCACAGCCCCAGCTGCCTCTGCCAGCCATCGCAGCCCCAGCTTCATCCAGAAGGTCGTCCAGACGTGCTAATTAGAATATTAGCTCTTTATTATATCGGTTTATTCAAAATAATATTTGTGACAGTTTTGTATATTCCTTCTCTTTTCATAGAGGGACTATCTGGAACTTATATTCTGTTCCAAGGATAGCGGAACCTGTATGGCTCACCATGATGTCCAGCACTTTGGAAAAAACCCAGCTCTGTCAGCGTTTTCTCAAGGAGTTCACACTCCTAATAGAACAGGTCAACAAAAACCAGTAAGCTTCAGCTCTCTGTAACGTGGTGTGCATATTCTGTGGCCAATGTATGTTCTGTAGATGACATGCCTCTTCCTGCGTTGACTCATCTGGTTGTATTTTCTTCCATTTCTCAAAGGTTTTTTGCTGCCTTACTGACTGCAGTGTTAACCTACCACCTGGCCTGGGTACCGACTGTCATGCCTGTTGATCACCCTCCCATTAAAGCCTTCTCAGAGAAACGCACCTCTCAGTCGGTGAACACACTGGCCAAAACACATCCGTATAATCCTCTCTGGGCACAGCTGGGTTAGTACCTGATTTGATTATTCAGAGACTATATGGGACAGAATAGGGAAAATGCTAGAATTTTTATTGATATTAACTATTCAACCCAGTGATACAAAGCATAGGAGATTGGCCCACAGATTTCTAATTGTGATGCTACCAGCTTCCTCACCATTCCCTGCTAGCAGCTTTGTTCTACTCTTTTAAAGCTCTGTAGTAAATTTTGTTCTCCCAGATCACACAGCAAATCACCCTAGAGCAGTGGTCAGCAAACTGTGGCTCGCGAGCCACATGTGGCTCTTTGGCCCCTTGAGTGTAGCTCTTCCACAAAATACCACGTGTGGGTACGCACATACAGGGAGATTGAAACTTCATGGCCCATGCGCAGAAGTCGGTATTTTGTGGAAGAGCCACACTCAAAGGGCCAAAGAGCCGCATGTGGCTTGCGAGCCGCAGTTTGCCGACCACTGCCCTAGAGCAAGGTCTCTTAACCTCGGCATTATCAGCCTTCGGACCAGATAATTCTTTGTTAGGGGTGGAGGAGCTGTGTTGTGTATTGTAGGAGGTTTAGAAGCATCACTAGCCTTTGTTCATTAGCTGCCAGTGAAAAGCCCCCCTCCCCTCCAAAGTTGTGACAATAAACAATTTCTCCAGATGTTGCTGAGTGTCCCCTGGGGTATGGGGAAAAGACACCCCCTGGCAGAGAACCACTGCTCTAGAAGATGAACTGGATAGGAGAAAAATAAGACAAAAAAGAAAGTAGTACATACAGTTTTACCATCTTTTAAATTTTAGCATAAGTCAGAAACCTTATCTTTTCCTACACTGCTTCCTTGCAATTAGTTGGTGCCATTATTTCCTCAAAGCTTAGTACTGAAGCATGGTATAAGAATCTTAATGCTTTGGCAGAATTGGGTACAGAGTTTGGTATTTATGAGACCAATTTTGCATATTTTGGGTTCATATGGAGGAGAGCTATACTATAGAACTGCTCATTTATCAAATGTTTAGAGTGACGAAGTAAAATTTGCACACTCACTCTGTCCCAGACCCTGTGCTAGATGCCAGGGATATGGAGTTGAATAACATGCACTGCTTAGCCTCCAGAAACTAGCTGTCTAACCGAGGAGGCAGATTTGTATTCAGATGATTTCAGGATGTCCTGAGTAGTCCTTTGATGGGGGTGTGCAGAAAGGATGTAAGAGAGAAACTGTAAAGTGTGCTAGTAAAGGCTAAGAGCATGAGTGCTGAGCCAGAACTGCTCAGATCAAACCCAGTGTCCATGGGCAAGTGACTTAACCTCTCTGACTCAGTCTCTTCATCTATAAAAAAGGGCAAAAATAGTTGCTGATTGCTGTGGGAATTCAATTAGTTATATATAAAGCACATTCGTTACTGGTGCGACTGATGAAAATAATATTGGAGGTCTTAGAAAACAACATGTTATAATAACAATAATGAGAGTTGTCACTGTGAGCCAAGCACTGTTTTTTAAGTGCTTTTTACCCATATTATTACTTAGATTCTCAGTACAAATCTATTACTATTGCCCTCACTTTATAGATAATAAAGATGTCTTGCCCTTGTGCCCTGGATCATGAGATGTGTAAGAAAGAGAATACCTGTCTCACCGTTAGGGGGATAATAGATGCATATTAAATGAATTAATAAAGAATTTATTAATTAATAAAGAATCTAAGGATGTTAAAATGTATTTAATACAAGCGATCAGTACTGAGTTCACAAAAGTATTCGGAGTGTGCCTAACTCACTCTGGGTCATCTGATTCTTCCTGGGGAAGGCAGAGCATTATTTATTGTTCTCATTACAGAACAATAGTCCTGAAGAAAGGTAGTATCATCAACTAGTCACTATGAAGGGAAGAGGGCTGGATGTTAAGGAAACATGATTACATGCTGCCAGGTCACCCATTTAAAAACAATGCTAATTAAGTAGTATGCATCTACTACTAGATAAATGTATTTATAATTAGACATGCTTCTCATTTAAAATTTTATTAATTGAGAGCCATTAATTCCCTTTATTCAACTTAACAAGGCAAAGTCCCTTCCTATGGGCTCACCATCCTTTTCCAAGGAGATCATGTATAATTGAATCTCCCATGCTCCCTTCCTTCAAACAGTGCACCAGTGTCAGGCTGTGGACAAAATGGTGTGAGGAAGGGATAAGGTCTTGGTGCAGAGTCACACCTTAGCTTTATAAAGTCAAGTGTAAATAATGGTTAGGTTTCTATTATTATAAAAATCAAGAGGCTTCAATAATTTGACAGGGAAAGATGCTTATTTCCAATTAATATTATGTTTTCGTTGACTGTTTACCAAATCACAGAAAACAGGAAAATATAAATTGCCTGGAATAAACACTGATGCAGATATAATTTTAATCCAGGTTCTAAGTAATAGAGAAGATTCTATCTTGAATTATTTTAAAGGCATATCTGAAAGTTTAGCAGGACAGGTACTGTTATTAGTGGAAGTGGAGGGATGTTTTCCATAAGCCAATATTCTTCCCAGTGTGGGTCCTATCTGGGTCGCCATCTGATACCAGTGGTAGTGGAGTTTGCCATGAGGAAAGGAATTTCTTGAGGCCCCCATGGGAGGATGGGGTGTCGTGGAAAGCTTTATTGATGATGTAAGATTAAGGGGGTTCCCCTCTAAGTTCCCATCTTCATCTGTCTAACCGTGGAAGAAGTCTAATCTTTTCTTTAGCAGGGCCACAATTAATGTCACTACCCAGAATTTCTGCTCCATATAAAAGTCCAGTCTAGTCCAGCATCTGGCTAGCTTATTTTGTGTTCTCAGCTGCAGTCCATTGTGTGTGGGGTCTGCATGACCATGGACCATGTGGCTGCTTAAGGCCACATGGCTATGGAGAGAGAGCAGGTGAGCAAGAACAAGAGAGAGGGAACTCTTTGGGGATTTTAACTTTTCAAGATTTTGTATGCTTTTGATGGGGTCCACGCTCTAGCCAATCCACTGTTCCTCTGGCTAGACTGACATGCAAGTACCTTTCCCATGTCACCCCAACTTCACTGTGCGTGTGCCGGCCTCCCCCTTTGTTGGAACCCTTCCCCCAGTGATCTGCAGGGAATGGATCGTTGGTTCCATGAAGCAGTAGCTTCCTGGTGAAGCTGCCCAGATGACCATGCTTATAATGACTAGCCGTCACTTTGCTCTCTTTCTATTATTAATATTAATGAGTTAATTACAACAATAACAGTACCACTGCTGTGCCCCCTTCTGCCTGGTTTCTTGCATTCCCTGGGAAACAAGGAGAGACACTGGAAGCAACAACCCCTTCACATTCTCCTGGGTTTGCTGCTCAGGGGCTTAACCTTCCCCACTTATGCCTCACACGTGCTCTTGGCACACGGATTTTCCAAGGTGTGGCTAAGCACGCAGTAGTGGGTGTGCAAGCTGCTCAGTAGGTCAAAAGAGCATTTAAAAGTACAATAGAATAGAAAATATCAGTGACACATGTGTTTTATAAACTGGTTGTTTCAAGGGAGTGTGAGGCTGCAGTCTAAATGCGTTTCTTTCTTGGGACGGGTATGCTAAGTTGGAAAGCCACTGTCTTTCATCACTGATTGAAGGAATTTCATGTGGGTCTTTTTTTGATCCAATGACCTCAAGGATTTGTGGAAAGCCAAACAATACTTACAAGAGAAATTACAAAATAGTTTGAGCTAAATGATAATAAAGAGGCAATAAATTACAATGCTTAGCATTAGAGCAACTGTACTTAAAGGGTCTTCATAGCATATACACATTTATTATAATGTAATCAATGAATAAGGGGCCCTTTAAGATAATTAGTTTCTCTCCTTGTTTCCCTTTTAATCTTCTCAGTTTTTCCTTGTCTGCCTTTGTTTCTCCATCTCCATGTCCCCCCACCTCTCCCACCCTCTCAGTTTTCCCTCCCCTTTATAATGCTGCTGAATTCTATCAGCTTCTCACCTCATTCTCTCTCCCTCTCTTATTCTAGCCCTTCTCTTTCTACTTCCGTTTCTATCTTTTCTGTTTCCCTGGGTATCTTCTTTCCCTCTCCCTCGGTGTTTTCTTTTCCTATGTATGCTTTACGCTCTCTTCTTTTCCTCACCTCTGAGCTTTTCTCCAATTCTCTACCATTTTGTTCCTCTCCACTCCCCATCTCTTTTCTCTTTCCTTTCTTCTCCTTACCCTCTGTCTATTCTTCTCTTCCTTCCATAGGTCCCCTCCCTGTTCCTCTCCTCACTGTCTCCCCTCTCTAGTGTCCATTCCCTGAGTCCCCCTATTTGTCTTATTTCCCTGATCTCTCCTCTCAGTCTGTCTGCACCCCTCCCTGCTTTGTTCACTCTCTGTCTCTGCTCTCTCTGTTTCACCTATAGTCTCTTTACCCCCCCCCCTTTTTTTGTGTGTTTCTCCCATTTTCTCTCTTTTTTCTTAATTTTAACTTGGTATTTTAAATTGTCCTTAACAAAGAAGCTCAGAACATAACATTTATCATCTTAACCATTTCTAAGTGTACAGTTCAGTGATGTTAAGTCTATTCGCATGGTTATGCAACTCGGCTTCATTTTGAAAAATTATACTCAGAAGAACAAAGGAATCTACTCTAAAATTAGTAGCTTTGTCAGTCTGGACTCAAAAAATTGCCTTAGAGTTCAAGATCCAGGAAGTCTTTAACGTTACAGGTATTTTTTAAATGATGCATTATTTTTATGAAGTTTGGCCCTAAAGTAATGGCAGAATCTACACAACATTATTCTCATTACTTAATAGAGTTTAAATTATTATAAATTGTTTTTAATCGCCATCTTTAGTTTTATCTTTTTAAACTTACGACTTAGTTATTAAAATGTTAAATGCATTGAAAAATAATACCATTCTGTGATATTTTTTTTATACCAGATTTCAGATGTGGGAAGCTTATCTTCTCTATTAACACTGAGACTGATTTAACAAAAGTGTCCCATGAGTGCCTGTCACAGCTGCGATGCCCTGCAGCAATGGGCAGTGTAATCACTGGAAAGTGAGAAGAAGCTCAGTATTTGTCCTAGCACCAGACTGCAGTTTGAGTTATTGTTTTGAATTCTCAGTCAGTTGCAAAAGCCTCAAAGATAAAGCTCTATTAGCCTTTCATCTAGCCTTTTTATAGAGAGGACTGTATAATATCATTCCTGCCCTGCCCCTTAAGTTCTTAGGCGCAGTAGCCTCACACATGGGAACAGTCTCTATAGGAGGTACTTCCCAAGGGTTCCCAGGGCAAGTGCTTGCCCCAGTCTTAACCTATCAATTTCATTAGTTTATCTATTGTGTGCCCTTATCAGTGCCTTCCCTCCTTTCTCTAGATGCACTCCTCACATGGGTTCTAACTTTCCGAGTTCTTATTTATAACTATTATCTTGTCTCTCCTCTCCTTTGTTTAGAACATTTTTAAGTTTTGATTTATTAGAACATTTTGATTATTCCCGTAATGGTTTCTAACTCAGGGTTGGGTCTGTAGAGGTATAAATGAGATAAATCCATGTCAGACACTTGGCACTATGTCTGTACAGTCTGTAAATGTTGGCTTTTTGTTGTAATTTTCATCATTATTATCAAAGTATCAATTATGTAACTTATCAAATGCAATAATTTTAATAGGCACTTGACCAATACTTTTATTTTTTAATCCTCATCCAAGGATATGTTTTTATTGATTTTAGAGAGGAAGGAAGAGAGTGGGGGGGGGGGGCAGGAATCGATCGGTTGCCTCCTATATATGCTCTGACTGGGATTGTAACTGCAATCTAGGTATGTGCCCTGACTGGGAATCAAACCTGCAACCTTTTGGTGTAAGGGATGAAGCTCCAACCAATTGAGTCACCTAGCCAGGGCTTAACCAGTATTTTTGATGAAAAGTTTATATTGCTGGGCTTATTGACACATTTTCCCTTCTTCTACCTTTAAGCCAAATGTTCATGGTTCATTAGCCAGTTTTTAATCAACTTGTTAGGTTATAACTTACGGGACATATTTTTTCCAGCAGAATTTTCATGTGAAGTAATAGAAATATTCAGCTTCATTCATATTCAGAATCATATTATTTGTGACTAAGTGATTTTCTTCTTGTTAATTAAATTGATTCTACTTGGTGCGTGTGTGTATATTGAGAGAAGTCTGAACAGGCCATTCATTAAGTATTTTGAATTGATTCACTGCACTTCAGTTCAGAGATCCTTGAATTTGGATTTCATTCCAGGCCTATTGTCCAGGGGTTCTTCTTAAAAAGTCTCATCATTCTAGTTTCCAAGATACAGTATTTGACTTGGTCACATATTCAGGGCTCTGACTTTATCCTTCCTTGGGAGGTAGAGTTGGCCAGCCAGTGAGATGGGTAGGCAGACCTATAATGGCTGTATATAGCAGTGCTGACCCTTGACAACAAGAGCAGCGTGCTGCAGCCATGCCCCGCCTTTTCAGACAGACTCTCCACTATAGACACAAAACTAAAACACGGCATTACTAGGCATTGCTTGTTTTCCTCAATCATTTGTGTGAAGAAGCAATTCTTATTTGGGACTGTAAGTCATCTGTTTTTCTCTTGTAAAAGCCGACATATCCAGGGCACGCTCACCCCTGATGACTTGTATTTTGTCCACTTTGCTCTGCAGGTGATCTCTACGGAGCCATCGGCTCTCCAGTTAGGCTGACGCGCACCGTGGTGGTGGGGAAGCAGAAGGATTTGGTCCAGCGCATACTTTACGTCCTGACCTACTTTCTCCGCTGTTCTGAGCTGCAAGAGAACCATCTGACCTGGAATGGGAATCACGGAGAAGGGGACCAGCTGTTAAATGGGAGCAACATCACAACAGCCTTGGAGAAGGGAGAGGTAGAGGAGTCTGAGTACGTGGTGGTCACGGTGAGAAGTGAGCCTGCTCTCCTGCCCCCCATCCTGCCAGCAACACTGACTGCTGAGGGAAGGAGCCCCGGACCCGAGGGCCTGGCTGGGACTCCAGAGGACAAGGACATCAGAGACCTTTGTACCCAACCTGACACAGAAGGAAACAAGAGTTCTGTGGCCTGCAGCCTGGACTACCAGGACCCAGCCCTGGGCAGCTCTTGGAAACCACAGGATGTATTTTGTGGGGAGGAAGAAAGTGAAAAAGAGGCCCCAGGAGATGGCTGTTCCAGGTTCTCCAGCTGGAAAGGTTTGGGGGCAGGATTGAAGGCCAGTGAGGAGTTCAAAAGGGAGATGACTAAGAAACTACCGCACCGGTCAGCGGCCTGGCCTTGCCCGGACAGACCTCCCCGGGAGAAGCCTCCCCTAGAAAAGGTCACTTTCCAGATTGGGAGCTCCGTATCTCCAGAGTCTGACTTGGAAAGCCGTGCTCAGAAAATGGAGGAGCGGCTCACGGCCTGTAGGCAACATCCAGAGTTAGCAGGTTGTCCCTTGGTGGAGCCCAGGGTGGCCGCTGACGCAGCTCAGGGCCAGCAGGTTTCTAGGTGCTCCTTCCTGCCTGGCTTCCGGCAGAGTGTCTGCTGTCCTCAGAATCCGCCATCTGAGGGGGATGAGGGTGACTTTGACAGGACTTACGCTGAGGACAGAGGTTTCAGCACTGAGGCTGCAGCAGATGCTGCCGGGCAGCTCAACCCCCCTGCCGACTCATCTGCCCCTGATGCCAGTGCGGCAGGAACTGGGCAGAGGACACTGGAGAACACAAGAGGGTTGCATTCGAAGGCTGGGGAGGGACCTTTGATAGAGCCTGTGTCTGGCAAGTGTGCACAGCAGGACTCTGGCACCTCCGTTGCTACAGATGTCCCCTGTGGGGATGCCGACGGGACGGCTGATTTCAGGACTGAAGGAGACATTCCCAGAAACGAAAGCTCGGATAGCGCTCTTGGAGACAGTGATGACGAAGCGTGTGCTTCAGCCACACTGGATCTAGGTCACAGCAGCGACCAGGCTGAAGGGTCCTTGGAAGTGGAGCTGCCTCTGCCCAGGTAACGCTGGGCGGCTGGGACGCAAGGGAACTGGGTCCAAACACAGCCATGACCACGTTAGCTGCTGTTGGCTGTCACACATATCAGTTGTTTTTCCCCAAGTGTTAGAAGTTTTATCAAACTGATACAGTTTCCAGCCTGCCCTTTCTCCCGGGATGCCCACAGGCTGAGTGCATCATCGAGCTCTCTGAGCGAGGAGGCGGGTGGTACCTTTGCCAGGTTTGGGGCATGTTGGGGAACCAGGGGATGTGATGTAGTGGGTGGTGGGGCAGGGCGTGTACTGTCCCATCATCTGGATGGGGCTGCACGGTGGGCAGCAGATGCCTTGCTTCGGAGGAGGTGGATTGCACTCACCGGCTGCTTCTAACCTGCCGGTCGGAGCAGTGTGAAGCGGCTGGGAAACAACACCTCTTCCTAACACTCCAACAGGCCGATGATTTGGTCTGTGATGACTGAAAGCAGTAATTAGAGACTTCTTCTGTTCTGCTGCCCTGTTGTGGGCACCACCCTGTGCAGATGTGTCGAGTTTCTAAAGCCAGACAGCTGGCAGGCTTCCCCCATAGACTTTCTCTTTCTTCACTCCCTTGACACAGATGCCTGGTGGATGTGCCTTGTGAGATACAGGAACAAACTCGTAACCGGCCATCAATATACTGTTTTCTTCCATTAGAAATATACTACCATTGGAAAAAACAAACAAACAAAAAAACTCTCTTCACTTTTCCAGCCCCTTCCCTTTTCTGGCACCAGTGATCTGCTTACTGGCGGTCTGGCGAAATAGCCCACCCTGAATCTGGCCTGCGTGGCTTGGGTTTTTGTTTCAGTTGTAACACAGAAGGGAGTCCATCTTTAATGGTGTATTCTAACAGACCAATATTGTTTTAGGTCTCAGAGCATCAGCAACCCGAATGTCAGGAACTTTGGCCGCTCCCTTCTGGCGGGTTACTGCCCCACGTACATGCCTGATCTGGTGCTCCATGGGACCAGCAGCGACGAGAGGCTGAGACAGTGCCTGATGGCTGACCTGGTCCACACGGTCCATGTAAGTGCTTGCAGCTTGGCGCCCTGGCTGCCGACAGTGTGTCCACCAGGGTCCTGCCCAGCCCAGCCCAGCCACAGGTGTTTAGACTGTTTCATATTGAAGAGTGTGCCTTGAAGGATTATTTATAGAGATGTGGGCAGGGTTGGGGAAGCACCAGGGATTAGAAGCAGCTGGGCTGGGAGGACTGGGCCTGGAAGAGTAAGGGAGCGCACAGTGAGAGCAGAGCTGGGACTGGAGGAGGGACTCCCTGGCCGCAGAGGCACTGAGGAGGGTAGGGGCTAATGCCTGACATCTCTCCTCTCCAACTTCTGAGCTCTTCTCGTGCTTCCCAGTGGCTGGGCCCAGCCGATGCAGACATAGGCCTGCGGTCCACAGAGGTCTGCCTACTGGGGCCCACACAGGACAGAGAAGGGCAAAGAGTGCAGCTGGGGGTGTGTGGGGGCTATAGGCCAAGCAAATAGAATAAATAACACTGATGGTGACAATTCTAAGCCATCCCGGGGAGGACGAAAGATGTCACATATGGTTTGCTTTTTACCCGATCCATACAAGTTCAAAGTAATTTATTTTAACTGGTTTGTCATTGAGTTTACTCTGATGGCCGCATGAGATGACTGTGTAAAGATGAACACGTCTCCCTGGAAAATTGCCCTGTGGCTGCCGTGAAGTGCTTCTCTGCTGTATGCAGCATGACAGGGACTGAGCAGTGAAGGCAGCTGTGTCAGTCTGATGGGCCTGTTTTTCATTGAGCTGCTATTGGGCAGATGTGCAAAAATAGATGTTTTGCATTGGAAACATATTGTATTTTGTGCAATAGGGACAGTCCTCATTACATTAAGGAAAATAGAATTTGGCTTGTTGTCTACCTCCTCGCCCAACAAGTATTTTTCTGGGAGGTGAAACAGAGGCACTGCATGTTATCTTTGGCCTTAAGTACCTCCTCTGTGAAGACTAAACATGCATCAGGCTCAGGCTAAGCCGGCTGAAGATTTGTATGAAATGGGAAGAAAAGCTCACTAGTGAAGCAGATGTCCTCCTAACCCCCCTGGATGGGATGGGAGAAGAGACGAGGAAGGGCGACCTGAAGCTGGAAGGCCAGCCCAGGGACGCATTAGACCCCAACATTCCTAACCCTGCCCTGCTTTGTGGTCAGATGTCACCCCTCTCCAGGTGTTCCTGGAACAAAGCTGTATACGGAATCTCAAGTTTTGCTTCCGTACTTGTAATGAACACTGCATACTTGTGCATCATTTCACAGGTGCATCCATCAGGGACCACAGGATAAGAACAACGCTCTCCTTACATGATGCTGTCTTTCTGAGTTGTCCTAAACCGTGTATTCTCAGTGACTTCAGAGTCTCACATCCATTTGCAGCTGTCTGTGGCGTTAAGGCGGGGAATCACCTCCTTTCCTTTTCTGTCAGCACCTTATGTTTATATCCATATATGCAAAACCTGTGGGGTTTTTCTTTCTGCTCTGCTGGCCGTTTGATTTGTGAGAACATTGGTGTTGCTCGGTGGACCTTTCTTCCATGAAGCCCCAGGTTCCAGTTCTGACAGAAGTGCCAAGAGATCTAGTGTGAACTAATGGGATTGTCTTCAGTGCCCTTGATCTTGCTAGCTGGGAGGTGGTGCCCAGAGGCCCCTGACTCACTCACCAACCACTGTGGAAATATAATCTATTGATTGATAACGCTCCTTGAAATTACCTGCAAAACCATTCATGACGTTTTTAGTATTCTTTATAGGCTGACAAGTTCTGGTTTTTGTGTATTAGGTTTTCATGGTGACCATCTAGCTCTATAATTTATATATTTGAAAAAATAAAACAACGCTTCCTCTATTTGTACTCTTAAAGATTTTTCAGATATCAGTTCCCCTTCCTTTCAGAAGTAGTACTTTCACACTAGCTTCTCTCGTTTCTTTACGCAATCACCCTGAGATACCGAAAGTTATTAAGCATAATAACCTATATTATGTCAAATTGTGGGTACATCCAAAGTGCAGCCAGTCATGGGTGTTAATGGGCAATTTCAAAGGGTTCATGAAAACATCTTCAGAAGTTTAATGCATTTAGAATGTATCCAATTAGCATTAGTGGATTTCTAATTTCACTTGGCACACTCATCATCATGAATTTTACTTTTGAAGTAGTGTTCCATTTAATCTGCCTCTCAGATTGGGACTCTGGTCTGTGACAGTGTTTAAATTAAAAAAAAAAAAAAAGCCTTACTATCAAATGCCATTTACAAATATTTGTTGAAAAGTAAATTAAGAGGGTTTTTAAAAACATATTGAATTTACTGCTCCATAAAGCCTAGTAATTATTTAAATTCTTGAGTAGATTGCCAGAGAAAGAAGCAGATTCAAGAACAAGTACATGACCAGAGTTAGAACAGAAATAATCGCTTTTTGGGGAAGAGAAGATTAGGATAAATTGCTTTATCACAGCTTGCTTTCAAAATCTATTTTTGGATGTTATTCATTTTTAGTGTTCATGTGAGACTTCATTGGGCACTGCTATTCATAATGTTTTTAGAGGATTTTTTAATAACTGTTTAAATGCCATTGATCTATTTTCTAGATCTAGGCATGATTGGATTATAAAATCTATCTTACGTGACTGTGCATTTTTATAACCAGGATGGATTGATTTGTGGAGTTTCTTCCCTCATTGAAGAATTGTATTCTTGGGGTTCCAGTACTAAGCATTTCTCTTTGTATTTTTCCTTACTGTAGTCTCTTATGAAAGAAAGGCATATTAACTTTATTTTATGTATTTCCCATTTTTATTACTGGCTTTCACGTGTTAAAATGTGGTCTTTAAATATTTAAACACATGTTCTTGTTTAATCCATATACTACCTTTTTTCTGTCATTTGAACTGTTTCTCTGCCTCCTAACATATAGATTGTACAGCTGCCTTAAATTAGGCTAAAGTAATATTTAGTTTCCTTTTTCTGTGCTACATCTAAATGTGCATTCTTTCCTCTTGTTTTCCTTCTGACTTTAAATGATAAAGTGGGCGAGAGGAGAGAAGGGGGAGAGCCAGCTGTACTCTGTACGTGTACCTCAGGTAGCTTTTCCTCTCTTGCTTTTTTTCCCTGTATGTTTGTCTGCCTGAGAATACTGCTGGCAGGGCAGTGTCAGGGGCATTAAGTTATGGGGCAGAGGAGAGTGTGGAGGAGCACTGACCTACCGCTGATGGCTTAGGTTCCAGTCTCAGGATTACCACTCATTCGCTGGGAGTAGAGTAAATCAGTTGGCATTGCTAAGCCTCAGAAAAATGTATTTAGAGGAACAGATGAAATATAACCCAGTGGTTAGGAGTTTGGCTTCAGTAGACAGAGAAACCTGAGTTTGAATCATGGCTCAACCTTTCATGGCTTTGTGGCCTTGAGCAAGCTTATTTGATTTTCTAAGCATCAGTTTTATCTTCCATAAAGTGAACAGTATTTATAGGTCTGTTTTGAAGACTGTAAGAGAATGCCTATCAGGTGTTTAGCACAGTGCCTGGCACATTACTAAATGCCAATAAATGTTAGCTATTAAGATGATATATGTGAAAGTCTCTTGTAAATGAGTTTCCCAGGAAACTCCTGTTGGAGAAGACGGACAGAACCCAAGCACATGCTCGTTCAGTGCTAGAAGTGTCCACGCTCCCTTTGCCTGTGACATGACAAGGAACATGCCAGGTGGCTCGCTGCAGAGTAGGGTTGTCTAGATCAAAAATAGCATCACATTTTAATGCTTAAAAAAAAAAAAAAAAACTATGTTCCAGGCTTCAGGCATTTTATAGAACACACTGTAAAGCAAAGTAACAGTTGGCTATAGCAGCCTCTTTCATTTGATTTTAAGAGTAGCAACAGATTGACTCCAGAAATATCATGCGGAAATCAGTAGCACAGATAAGCAGCTTTGCTGTAAGCTTGGCTATGATATATGCTCATGAATACCTAATTAAGCCACGCAGTGGAATCAGCCAGGAAGACTACAAAAGAACAGCAAGTCACATCAAGTTATAAGTCATTACTTAAGTTACACAGAGAACACTAAGTGCCCCAAGTCAACAGTAGCCTTAAAATCAATAGCAATGCAAAGGCAACATCTATGTAGGACACACCTGCTATTTTAGAACATCTCTTATTGCTTTCGTTTCCCTGTGTTGGATAGTGAGCTTGATAATGCCTTAGGCCTATAGCACTGTCTTACTATTTAGTGAAATCTGTGTGTGTGTATGCACATGTATGCGTATTTATACACATGTATTCAGGGACACACATGGTCACACGTGTGTAAGCATGCACACTGGGTTATAATGTTAAAATGTATTTCTTATTGTGGATTTAAAAAGTATTTGAAAAAGATATTGATCTCTGAATATGGCCAACTCCAATCTGACATGTTTGTGATTCTCTCATTGTGACTGCTGTCTTATTTAAGTTTCCCTTAACCTTCCCAACTAGTGGTCCTAGTGCCAGTGTTCCCCCTTCCAATCATACTGCATGGTGCCATGGTGCCACAAGAGGGCTCTTTCTAATGATCACTTACTCTTCTGCTCTGATAGTTTCCCCCTTTTTTAAAGAGTAAAATGTAAACTCCTTGGCTGGATTGGTCTCTTTATGTCCTTCAAATACACACACACACACACACACACACACACACACACACACGCGCGCGCGCGCCTACACTACACACCTCCATCTTCTCTTTGCTCCAGTCACGCTGTTTGCCATCCTGTAGTGGCCCATCCACCTCCCACTTGTGCACCTTTCCTTCCTTTGCATAAGGCCCTGTTGAACAAATTTCTGTTCATTATTGGAGACCCAGTTCACATGTTGCCTCTTCTTTGAAACCATCCTAGGCACCCCTAGGTAGAACTCAACTACTCTCCCCACTCCAGGCTCCTTAGCACATTGCTCTGTGCCTTTGTTTTCTGTCCCACTATGGTTGCAGGCACCTGGAAACTGGGAGCGGGCAGGGGAGGTGGGGACTTACTT